CGCGCCGTAAGCAGCCGCCATTTAATTTGCCAAACAAAAGTTTGTCTGCATAACAGTATCTACACACGACGAGCATATCCGCGCACATGTGCGCCAACATGCTCGCTGTCGTTTGCTACAGACGGCGAGCGGCTCATAAGAAATTTTGTACTCAAAGCGTAAACATGGAAAGGAAAGACGCGGATGATGCAATTGAAATACTTATGACTTAGGGTTTTTTATGTATGTGTTACTTAAATTTATTTATATTTTACTTATATGTATGTACATACATATACATATAGTAATTTAGCCTCATTTATCAAAAATTCAATTAACGCACATGGCTTGGATGCATTTAACCGCGATGTGCACACTGCAAGCATCAACACAAAGTGAGGTTGTTGTTTTTGTTTCCAATGCGATGCTCGCAAACCACGCTACAAACGACGAGCATGACCCGCAAGCCGCGCATGTGCGCGGATTTGCTCGTCGTGTGTAGCTACTGTAACACCGACCGTATTCGACAGCAGGAAACGTCAAGTGAAGGATTCAGAAAAAATATCGATGCATCAGAAACATCGATGTTTGATATTCGATGCATCGAATAAAACCGATGCTTTGGCAGCCTTATTATGTATCTCGAACGATAGGCCGCACGAACGATTCGTCTGTAGGCGATATCGTCACGGATTGCTTTTGTAACTCTGTCGTTCGTCTTCGTCTTGTCTTTACGTCGATTACGTTGCAATCGTCTCGGTTACGTTGTATGATGTTGCCGGATGAAATTTTGATGTACTTCCAAAGAGTTTTTCTTAGATTTCTAATAGCTTATTTCAATGCATTTTATTTTAAATCGGCAACATCGGAATTGTTTACATTTTGGTTTTGCTTAAAAGTGTTTTGGTTGTGTTGCGGAAAGAAATATAAGGAAAATAAATTTTTAAAAATGTATTGCTATAGCGCTAATAGACGCCGAGGAATCCGAAGAAAGGGAAAGGCGGATACAGAGGAGGAGATTGCGAGACCACACCAATGTAATGGAACTACCTGAGACTGAGTAAGTTCAAGATTAGCAAATCATTTTTGTATGCTACAATGTATTCGTTTCTAGATTTGTTGCAAATTTCCGAATCAATAAAGAAATATTCCAATACATATTAAACGAATTAAAAGAGCACATGGCTCCATCACATAGAAGCACCCACCTATCGCACCAGCTAAAACTCGGGACTTTTTTAAGATTTCTCGCCACCGGCAGTTACCAAAAATATGTTGGTAACGAAAATATTTCGTCGATGGGGCAGTCAACTGCAGCCAACGTGATCAGGGAATGCCTAAATATTTTTGAGGACCATTTTTGCCAGAAATGGGTGAATTTTAGGAGAAACATCGATGAGGAAAATGCAGTTAAAGAATATTTCTTTGAGAAATACGGAATACCTGGGGTTATTGGTTGTGTTGATGGAACACACGTTCGTATTAAGTCGCCAGGAAGTGACAACCACCATTTATACCTCAACCGCAAGGGTTTTTACAGTCTTAATGTAATGGCGGTAGGTTAATGATTTACTATCTTTACAAGTATACATATACACAAACTGAGTTTCCTTACAGATCTGCGATCACAACATGGTAATCACATTTGTTGACGCTAGGCATCCAGGGGCGAATCATGATTCATTTGTTTGGAATGTGAGTCACGCAGAACAGGAGCTAAAATCTGATTATAACAATGGAAAAACCAACACATGGCTACTCGGTAAGTTTTAAAACTTAAAAAGGCTATCAAACTATTACTGACAATGAAAGTTTTTGTAGATGATTCTGGTTACCCCTTGCAGCCATACTTGATGACGCCATTCAGAAGCGCAGCACATGAAATTCGACGAATTTACAACACAAAGCACTCGAAAGCTCGTAATGTAATTGAGAGATGTTTCGGTGTTTTGAAAAATCGATTTCGATGTATAATTGGCTCGAGAGGGCTACACTATTCACCAGAAAAAGTTACACAAAGGCTGAATTTCTTTATTCATTCTGAACGTTTGGAATAAACTTTTCTGTTTATTTATTCTTTAGAACGTTCCTGATGATATGTTGACGTATATTTCAAACGCATTCTGTTTATTCCGGCTGTGAAATGGGATTATCCGGAATGTATAAAGAAACGCAGCCAAATTGTAAATGTGTGCTGTGCTATTCATAACGTTTGTATATTTTTCAAACATCAAATTCCATTGGAGAGCCCAGATATGGAGAATCTTGTTAGTAAAACAGTAACATTTCGAATACAGCTGCCCTTATTAGAATGAGAATAGCAGAGAGTTTGTTATAAACGCAGTTTTATTATAAAGTATGTGTGTCTAGATTTCAGGTACACCAGCAAAATTCATTTGTCTTAAAATTAATAAAATATTTACATAAAAATTCAACAAAATATCTTTTCAGTCTAAACTAAGTAAATGCAACAAAATATCAATTCACACTTAAATCTAAAAAATATTTACACAAAAAAAAAACAAAATATCACTTCAATACTCTCACAATAGTGGTATTAAAAATAATTCCGGAAGTACTCCAAAAATTTTTCAAAAATTGTAGATTGGCGTTCCACTGCAGCAGTTAATTTGTTTGTTGCATCCACCTGCAGCATTGATGCCTCTGCCATTTTTTTTGCAGCCTCAGCCTGCACTTTAGCGGCTTCTGCTTGGACTTTGGCAGATTCAGCCACTGTCTCTTGGAAGGTGCGCTTCCTATTAGTGGAACGTAACGTGTGCGTTGGTGTAGGACGGGTTGTCTGTGTAGTGGGAGTCACTACTCCCACTGGTGGTGGTTGGTTGTGCCTTATAGGAGATTGAAGGGTGGTTGTTTGTTGCCTTCGTTGGTCAAGTGTTGGCGATTCAGTCACAAGTAAAGGAGGCATTTCCTCCAACGACGAATGTCTTGACATGTTAGAGGTCGCCGTCGAAGGAATGCCTAAAACTCTGCCGGTCGGGGCTGCTGACCTTGAAATAAAAACCAGGCTGTCTATGGCCTGCTCCATTTCGGAAAGCGGAGAGTGACGGAATGGGCCACCACCGGTAGCAGTAAGGCTTCGTGTGTTTTCGGCAATCTTCTTTTTTGTCCGGCTTTTCAAGTCAGCCCATATTTTGAAAAATAAAAATAAAATAAAATTCAATGTCAGTAAAATGGAAATAGTGCGAAAGCATTTATCTACCACATACAATTTATGCACTTATGCTTACTTTCTTCCATTCGACGGCCGTTCTTGTAGGTGGACCATGAGAATTAATTTTCCTCATAATTTCCTCCCACCGTTCCTCTACCCTTCCTCGATCAGATCCAAACACTGCAACACCTCTAGGCAGGTCAGGATTTCTCTCCATTTCTTTTACCAGTACTTCAAATTGAGTGGTTGTAGTTTTTTTCAGCGCTACAAGCATAAATATTAATATATTTCCTTAAACCAAGTTATATTTTTTTATTTTCTTACTTTTCCTGGCAGAACCCTCCATCTTAACGATCACTAATAACATTTCGTCTGTTTTCAACGATTGTCGTCTCACTTTCGTCTTCTATTCGCCTTAAAAAATTCCAAACTAGACGAAAACTACGTAACGATCAGCTGTTTTCGTGCTGCCAGACGATTTCGACTTACATACTACCAACACACGAACGAAACGTCTGGCAGACGAAACGAACGTTCGCTTCGAGATACATGATTAGGCTGTTGGATCTTCCGATATATATCGATGTATTTTTTTCGATGCATCGACTTTTGTGTGCAATTTACACTGTACATAATAAACTTATTTTATATGCTTCCAAACTCTTTGCTCTAGTAAATATTCTAAATGTGAAAATTTCACTATTTATGTACTATTACACTAGGCGCACATTGCATCCGATAGGCCGACCGGTTTCGGCCGGCAACATTGTATAAAAAGTCGCCCATCATGTAGCGCTAGCAACATGTGTCCTGATGAGTGGTGTAGGTGTGTGCGTGTTAATGCGATAACTGGCAATGGGATTTCGGTGCGAATTGCGGTTTATTTGAGTGAAAAGTGTTCGGCTAATTCACCCTTATAAAAGGCCCTGGAGGCGGAAAACGGCATCTAAAAGATAGTGGTGACGGGCAGCGGTTAAATCGGTGTCGTAGCAAGAGTAAACGTGCGGAAGTGCTAAGTAAAAGAAAAGTAATTTTTTTAAAGAAGTGAATCGGTGCCGTGATAAAGCGGTTTGCGATACCGCCGACGATTTGAGTCTTGCCCCATATTCAAGTGGAGGAGCTAA